CATGCAAAGCTTAATTTTCTCTGGGAAAGGGCAGATTGGGTCCGGAAAGCTGCTGAGTTACTACCAGTTGCCTTTGGTGATGAAAGACATTTGACAGAGCATAAGGCCTATGGTCTAATCCTCCCCTTCCTGAAGATACTGTATTTCCTGATGCTCTTCTGGGCAGTGAAGGACTGAGAAGACAAAAGTAAAACTAATTTTGGGAAAGACTAAAAGCATGTGGTCAGCTCCTGTGGCACTTCAAGATTCTTCTTTAAACTCAGATTTAGAGCCATTTAATCAAACTTATACTTTTCATATGTAAAGGAATTTTTCTAGCATTTTTATTTCTAGAGAAAAGAACAGTAGTTCTCAAAGCTAGAAATCATAAGACAAGTAAAAGCAACAATATGGATCAAAATCTAGGAACCTTACTTTTAGCATAAAATAACAATAGTATTTTTAGACTCAGCTGCTTCTTAAAGCTTGGGGGTTTACCCACACTGAGTAAAGCTTAAACTGTCAGGATTTTAATAGTAATAGGTCAAACAGATTTTCACTTTTTGATCCGTGTTTCATTCAGTCTGAAAGAGTGTGACCAGCAGGTCAAGTGAGATGATTCTCCACCTCTACTCTGCTTTGATGAGACCCCACCTGGAGTACAGGGCTCAGCTCTGGGGCCCACAGCACAAGAAGGACTTGGACCTGTCGGAGTGAGTCCAGAGGAGGGCCATGAAAATGATCAGAGGGCTGGAGCACCTCTCCTATGAACACAGGTTGAGAGCTGGGGTAGTTCAGCCTGGAGAAGAGAAGGCTTTGGGAAGACCTTAGAGCAGCTTCCAGTGCATAAGGGGACCTGGGAAATCTGAAGAGGGATTTTTTACAAGGACCTGCAGTGACAGTGCTTTAAACTGACAGAGGGGAGATTTAGATTAGACATTAGGAAGAAGTTCTTTGCTGTGAGGGTGGTGAGGTGCTGGTACAGGTTGCCCAGAGAAGCTGTGTCTGCCCCATCCCTGGCAGTGTTAAAGGCCAGGTTGGATGGGTCTTGGAGCAACCTGCTCTAGTGGAAGGTGTCCCTGTCCATGGCAGGGGGTTGGAACTGGATGAGCTTTAAGGTCCCTCTCCAACCCCAACCATTCCATGATTTTATGGATAGCTATCATTGCTATGGAAGGACTTGTAGTGAAAAATCATCCAAATAATCAAAATGCAATCCAAACTGCCTTCAAAGAAAAAGGGGGCCTGATTCACTTGCACTTGGTTCTCCCCTCTCCATCCCTCAATCAACCCCACATCTCTCCTCCTGCCATTAACAGGAAGAAGGCAATGCTGTGCATGCCTGGGTTTCAGTCTAGCACAGGCAATAAGTCCCACAGCCTCTAAGGCACCTTAATAAATATGCTTTGGGTGTTACACTGAAGATTAAAGGAAACAAAGGTGGAAACAACGTTAGACTTCATGTTCATTTTAAGGGGTGACAGGAAACAGCAGAGGCTGGAAAGAGTGTGCCCAGTCTTATCCCTTATGACTCTCTCCCCTATTTACAGGCACCAGGTGGTGCCCACAGCATTTCTTGTCCATTGCTTTTCACTATTGGTAATGGACATAGCTGAACAGCGAGGACCTTGGAGTGATACTAAGGTCACGCAATTCATTTCTGTGTTACTGAACTATAAAACCTTCTTTGAAAGTCCATAAAATCTATTTTCATACAAACTGAGATTTACAGAAGCAGCTCCCTAAGAAGCAGGATGGCATTTAATAGTCTCTTCCCTGTAGATTACCCAGTATCTGAACTGAACTCACCTCTTGCAGTAACTCAATATCTTGAAACTCTGCCTGTTTCTCCAATTTGGCTGAAATCAGCCAATGCCTTCGACAGTGTTGGGTGTGGGGGATAGATGGAGCGAGACAGCATGATCACATACGGCTTGCATTCCTCGGGTGACAGCCAAGGGGGAGAGGCAGCTCTGAGAGCTGGTAGGGGTGTAGAACCAGATTAGATAAGTGACTTCCCACTGCTGAGAGAGGGAGAGGCAGTGCTGCTTTCAGCACTCCTGCTCCATTACAAATAAGTGATGTCATGAGTTAAAGAAAAAATCACCTACTATCCTGCACCGCTTCCCCCCAAAGACTTCCGAAATGGCTTGCTAAGAAAGAATTAAGATGTAATAAAGATGGAGGTGAAATAGGAAGAGAAAAAGCAACAAGGCAAACTCTTCCTCCAGCTTAAACCAACCACAGAGCATCCTGGAAGAATGGCAAAAAAATTAGCACTGTCAAAAAAACAGGGCAGTTGCTTTTTCCCAATGTGGTTTCTCAAGAGTATTTAACATTTGGATATTTCCTTTCACTGTTTTCTGCCATTCAAACTTTTTTTTGCTATTTAGCTTTTCAGATTAAAAGTGTTTTTTTCCTATAAAATATAAAAAAACTTTCCAAAGGCAAACTGTATTCCTGGCTGAGTCAATAATGTGTGGTTATCTGAAGAGGATCAAATGGAAAACTGGAAAACTGAATGAACTTACTGAGCTGACCAAGTAGCTTAAGAGGTGTTGGAGAGTCAAACCTTGATCTGATGCAGATATTACTCAGGCCTGAACAGGGCTTGAGCATGGTGGCACAGTCTAGGTGCCATTCATGGGTCAGTTATAGTACTGAAGACTGGTGAGCTGGGCACTTAAAGACAAGGGTGTAGACCAGTCTGGTAAACAGAGCTATTCCCTGCTTTTTTTTTCCCTGTAATGGATGAACACTCATTTTTCAGGTTGGGTGGGTCTGCGTTCAGCCACAGGGGCCTATTCCACAACACTTTAGGCTCCTGGACGTGTTCTTGAGGAAGCAGAGAGGAAGGCTCCAGGTAATTAGGGTGGGAGCAAGGAAAGAAAATTAATTTTCAAAAAATATTGAGCAAGGATAGATTGGCAAGAAAGAACAAGGGGACAAAAAAAGAGTTTGAAGAAAGAAAAGCCACTCTCTTGGCCTCAGTGATACAGAGAGGTCAGATTCAGGGACTGCCCCTGATAACACAGCTTCTGTGTTTCCCTTGACAGACAGAGATCCAGCTGGGGAAAGTGATCATGCCTTCTGCTTTTGAGGTCTGAGCGAGTCAAGAGCAGTTCGGTGCCCACTGCTTGGAGGCTTGGCTGCCTGGTCTAAGGGGCAGGAGGGGCTCAAGGCTAGCAGGCAGGACCTCTGTTGTTCCTCATCTCTCTTACCCACTGTGCTTCTTATTCCTGTGGGCAGAGCTGCAGACTATATGATCAGCAAGGAAAGCTGCAAGGGCCCTGGCAATGGTCCTCACCAGCAGGATTATACACCAGCCTTATGGTCTTTACTTGGAGCACTTTAGTGCCTCATCTCAAGCATGGACTTTCAGCCTATGCGAAAGATTTCAAGTGACAGACTGGGAAAGTCTCCCTCAAAGAATCCTTGGGAAAATGCGATAAGCTGCCCAGTGACAATGACGAGGGTCATTACTGGGTTTAACCCATCAGAGATCAAGAGTCCACTTCAGTCCTTCTCCACTCACCAACCATTTGAAGATAGTTTCTTTATAAGGACTTCAAGTGCAGTAACATTCGAGAAGAAGGACTATAAGGGGAAAGGCAGAGGCTGGAGGTTTAGGAAGGAATTAACAGGTCATTTTGAAGAGTGCCAGGTCTAGCTTTGAAGCTCACCCTGCTTTCAGTGTAGTGGCTTAGATCAGAGGTTTGAAGGACAACTCTGAGTTATTAGATTTCATACTTCTGTGTGAAAGGTGTGAATTTTTTTTTTCCTTTCCAATTGTCTTTTAGAACATTTAATGAAGGAGCCAGTAAAATAAAGACTTTGATAAGGAAGTGCAAGTGAGAATTGTTCTTCCTAATACTACCCAGTGGCCGCAAGTGTGATGCCAATAAAAAGGAAAATTAAGTGTTCATAGTATCACAGTTGCAAAAAAACCCAATGAAACCCAGACTTGTTGACTTTTCCAGACACAGCCTTCGATCAGAATATATGTGCTCATATATAGTTGTAGGCAATAGGAAAGCACCCCTTTGAAAGGAGAAGGAGCACTTTATCAAGGACAATGTGTCCTGAGAAAGTCTTCAAAATCACTGCATTCGCAATTCTATACACACACATATGCATACATGCACACACACACGATGCAGAATCAAAGGTTTTATGAAGACAGAAAAAATCAGGTCATTCAAACAACATTCACCACATTTCTTTATCCATCCAAGTAATTTTATAGCCCTAATGGGTATAAAGCAACCATGTGATTCCTTCAGGATCATCAGCTCATCTCTACATCTTTCCTTACGCCTGCTTTCAAGTTAGGTGTCTGCAAATGATTATTAATAATCATTTCTACTTTGACAACAGCATCCAAAGTTCCAGTCAATACTGGGACTTCATTTTGACAGACTGCACCAACACAGAGAGAAGGGGACGGACCCAACATCAAGAGTTTTCAACTGAAATGAATGGCTGGTGAAGGCTAAAAGAGAAACAGGGAATTTGTCCAATGCCCTGCACAGCACATCAGAAACAGGCGTTGAACCTCCTTACTGGTTATGGACTTTCAACAGATTAAAAGATTGATATATAGTTGATATGCATACTTCAGCCAAAGGTTTTAGGCTTAAATCAGGGTCAGAAGACTTGTATAGATCTCATGTGGAACATAATATCACCATGTACTGTTGTCTACTGGCTTTACACTTTTTCAGGCATAGATACAGAGCTGTGAGGTAGTCTTCTAATGGAAGAAATTTTAATCCCATCACCAGAATAAAAAAACTGTATTTTAAGGTGAAATAGCAACTGGTTCTGCAAAGGTAGGGAGGATGAATGGGTGGCCAATTAAGATATTTTTGTTTATGGCTTCCACAATTCTATAAAATGGGTGCATCTTAAAACTCATTAGTTCCTTTCTTCAAGACAAGAAATATCCACAGATTATCTGTGATCAAACCCTCAGCCCTGTCCACACACATTTCTTGGAGCCAAATTCAGTTGTTACTGACCTGTTCCACTCGGATATCAAATTCTCCATTCACCTTCTTCCCCTGGAAATATTTGGCCCTGCAGAAAAAATGAGAGACAAACATGGTTAAAGAAGATTTTTGGCTTTCATTACATACTGTTTTGCTTCTGCATTTCCCTTTTGGCTGAATAATTTCTATCCGGGTCACAGCATGTTTTCCTAATTCCTATCTTCTTTCAGCTTTCTGTTCTCCAAAAGAAACCTGCCAAGCCAGATGAAAACCACATTGGAAAGTTCCTTCAAGGCTTACGACTTTTTCATTTTATTTTCAAACTAAAAACCAAATGCTCTCCTAATCTTTTCCAGAACAAAGACTCTAATAGATTATTCCTTGCTATGTCTCATTTAATACTCAATATTCTGTAAAAGAAGGAGAACAACATATGGCACAACGTTAGAAACTACTTCAGACTTTGAGCAAGGATCTTTGTCATCATAGCTGAACTACTTGTGAAGCTCATTCTCTCGCTTTATCGCTACAGAGCTGCTTTTTGATTCTGTTTGTTTTTCCACTACTGATTTAGAAAAACAGTATCTGCATCTATAGTGTTACTAATGAAGGATCTCTGTGTTTGCTTTGGAGCTGAAGAGTGTCATGAGAAGGACATATACCTTCCACCCCTCTGCTCCTATCTGCCTACGCTATGCAGACAACAAAGTACTTTCACAAGGATTGGTTGTTTATGATAGGGAAAGGCTGACAGTAGTGCTGGAGAAAAAAACATAGGAAAAGGACAGGCAGTTTTAGCTTTTTTATTCATATTTGTGCATAATTCTCCTTATATTGAATAGTCAGCAGGGAACTTGCCAACATAATTTCCACTGTGAATATGTCTCCCCAGTTCTTAATGTTCACCAAACAAGCTCGACAGAAGAAAATATGTATTTATTTTCTCAGATCTCCCCCCTAAAACTTCAGGAAGACCATGTAGGTTCCAAAAAGCTGTTCTATTTGGAAACCCTTGAAAACACAGTTCAGCCCTGCAAGAGCTGTTTCCAGAGACAAAGTAACTCTCTGCATTCTGTTTCCAATTGGCAAAGAGAGGACAGAATAAAGAAGTAAGGGAAAATGAGGAGAAGCCGGCTTTGCTCCCTATTTTATAGTATTAGAAAAAAAAAAAAAAAAAAAAAAAAAAAGAAGCTGGCTCACATTTTTACTATGTGTCTGTTTGTTCCAATAAAAAAAAAAAGAAAAAAAAGGAGAGGCAGTAGGAAGGCAATTTTCCCCATGGCTGAAACACACCACTTTCCAGCTGCAGGCTCCCCTCCCCCAGGAATGTGACATGTAAATAAAACCGTGTTTTGTCATTCTGGCTCAAAACCAAGTCAACACTTTACATTTTATTAAAAACAAAACAAACCAAAGCAAACCTACACAAAATAATTCCAAAAGTTTTCTGCTTCATTCTTATTAGGATATCTGAAGGCTGCATCAGGCTTCCCTTCCCAGACAGCCCATCCATCAGCAGGATGGTGATAAGACCTCTGCACAGAGATCAGTGGGGGACAGTGTAGCAGCCAGGTGTGACCAAGACCAAATGACTCAAACAACCCTGTCCAGTATAAAAAGCAGAACTGCTGCCATTTTTTATCTCTTCCTTGAATTTATGAGTGTTGCCTGAAAAAAAGATGCTCAGCAGACAAGCGGAGACATCATGCCTCTAACAATAAACAGGAACGCTAAATGCACTTAATAATTCCATCGTATTTCTGGAGGCATGGCTCTAGAGGGCCTGGCAACATTCCTTGCTCCTAAACACTGGGGATATTGCTGGAATAAGTGACTTCTCGAAAACTGGAGTAAGCTTTAAGTGGGCCCACAGGAACTGGTTTGAAATTTGAAGCACACTATTCACTGGTACAAGCTTGTTTTTATTCCCAGCACACTCATAACCTATACTGCTTACCCCCATTTATGAAACACACTTCCTCCCTCTATGGCCTTTCCTCTTTGCTGACCAGCTGGTTGCACACTCCTTGGTGCTGCTTTGCTTCAGTTTGTAATGAAATGTGATTAACCACAGTCTTTAGCCCAGTACAGAGGCTTCCACTGACTAGTGCAGGAAATGAGCCTTCACATGGTTAAAGAAGTCCTCTCTCCCATCTCTACAATACTGCCTCTACTCATGGGTAATCACACAGAGAGGATATCCAGAGTAAGGAGTCATTGGAATAGAGCGAGGGATCTCAACTTAGGCACTATATGACCTTCTTGCCCTCTTCCCACACAGGTTGTCTCATCCCATGTCTCAGATAACTTTCTGTTAACAGCACAATATATCACTTTCTTTCAAAGAAAGCCCCCCAGGAGGGTTAACCTGCTCTGAGTGTCTCTGAAGACTACAGGTGCTAAGCAATTGCAACCAAATATTTTGGTCAGCCCATCATTTTGACACGGCCCAGGGTAGGAATGAAACATTTCTTACTGAAACACCTCTGGAGTGAGGTTTTCAATTCACACCTGGGGTTTTGGAGCCCCTGGGCAGTAGAGGCTATCATGTTGAAATGAAAAATTGCTTTAACCTCACCCTGGAGCCCTGACATTTCAAGCAAGTTGGAATTGTTGCTGATGTTGTGGAAACATCCTGATGCCTCTGTTGCAAGAGGGAGTCTTTTGGTCAGTAGTGCACAATGTGTGAAATGGCTTTTGGTTCCTACGGTGGACATGAGATGGAGGAAAGGAAGATTATGTTGCTCTGGTGGGGATGCAAGAGAAAGGTAGATTGATGTTTCTGGTAGGTGAGACTGTGCAAGACATTTATAAGATGCTCTCTGCCCTAAAACCACCTGTGCAAGGCTCTTCCAGCCCTCTGCCTAGGAACTGACATGCTCCAGGGCTATCTAGTCATCCTGCAGTGCAGCAGGGGAGTGACACCAAGAAGACCAGTCAAAAGCCTTTCTGGGAAGCCTCAGACGTGTCCCCATTCACCTCTAGCATAGCCAATTGCTACTGATCAGAGGAGTAGCTCATTGCCCTGGGATGGGGGCTGTTTGTCCCCCCAGCTTGGGACACTGGGCAAGGCAGTGGCCATACAAATCTACCCCCTCTCCTGGGCAGCCTGCAGCACTGACCACTGCTTGGCTGCCCATCCCTTTATTATCAAGCATGTCACATGTTCAAACCCACCAGAACTCAGAGCTGTAATTTGCTAGGCAGGGTGCAGATGGGATGGTGTGGTTGCTGTGATCTCAGTAAATTAACATGTAAATATGTTTTGACTGAAGAAAACTGCATAGCCGTGCTCAAGAACAGTTCCTGGGTAGGATTTACAGTGCTAGGCAATGCATTTAAATGTGGCTGCATTGGCTGGGAGGAAGGAAGCACCATAATAAACAGCAAAAGGCTGTTTCTTTTCCAGGGAGAAAGCTTGCCTTGAATCCTTCTCTCTTTGTGATGGAAGAATCCACATGCTCCGGAAAAGGACATATTTTCTGGGTGCAAGAGTGTCAAACAAACTTCTGCTTTCTGCCTCAGCCCTGACATGATTACAGGGCCACAAGAAACCCGATGACTCTTCTTATGAAGTAATCTGGAAAGAATAAAAGCTTATTTTCCAGAGCTGCCATGAAACAGTCCCCATCTGCCTCAGCAACTGCAGCATATACACAATTCTCTGTCACATACAGAGTGCATCCTTAATAGCAGCAAGGAAAAATAAATGATTAATTTATCTCTGGTTACTTCATAAGGGATAATTGACACAAAGGCCATGTATAACATTAGTACCATTAGGTGTTTGAAAAGCATCTGTTTGAGCAAGGGATGCCATCACTGCCCCAACTGCAAACACATTTGTAAGACACTTGAATACCAGAGTTTATCCCTCTGGGTGTCACTGACAGCTGGGACAACTTGTACTGTGCCCGTGTGAGGGGTGCCCAAATCAGCATGCTCCCTTGCTCCTTCCTACTAACGCCCCTAGTCTGCAGACACAGGGATTCACTCCTCATGGGTGTGAATTTTCCTGTCAAAGCCTCATGTATCACAAGGCCCAGGGGAGGTAAAGCTTGGCCTGAGGGCTACAGGTACAGGAGCTGGGGCCAGCCTGCATTGCTGTGCTGGTCCTGTGTCATGGAGGAACATGCACAAGAGAAGCAATTCCCACGTGTGGAGTAAGGGCTGCCCAGGATCAGCAGCAAAGGGCCAAAACTCAAAAGCTACGTCTGTTGGGTGAACACAGATCATCCAGCAGTTTCTCTCTGTGTGATAAATAACTGGTTACATCTGCCTTGTGCTTTTTCTGCTTCAAAACAAAAGTTGGTGCAATGGGTGCTCAACCCATCAGCCAATAAACATGTTCAGCACAGGAATCCAGGAGAAGCTATTTCCACAGAGATTTTACTGTCTTTCCTGAAGTTATTTCTTTTCTCTTCCCTCTGCTTTTTGACTCTTGGTGCAAAGCAGCATATCCAAGGTGTTTAAGAGGACTGCTTCAGTGTTTTCCTCTGTATCTGTGGGAAAGAGAGGCATCAGGGATGCATCAGGGGACTGCACAACTTCTACCACGCTGGGAAATGCTATGCACAGGTGACAAATAGGAGAAGATGCAGGTACGATTACAGCAGGTATTACAGCTTGTTACCTGATTGCAGCAGGTATCAAGCATTGGCTAAAGAAAGTGCCCAGGGAGCTCTTCCCCAGCTACAGTGCCACTAGACAGCAGCACATGTAAGAGGTGCAGAACACTGGCCTCAATATTTGGAAGGGAGTAGCCAGGAAGGACAAGAGATTTGAAGTGATTGTGATGGCCTGGAGGAGTGCTGTGTTTCATTAGCTGTGTGAAGCAGAAGTTATGACACAGCTTTGAAGACAGGCTGGTATTTTGTATTAAATTAATGGTATTTCTTCAGGTATCCTGTAAAATGGTTTCTGTATAAAGCAATTCTCTAGGACAGGAAGAGATCAAGGACATCAAAGAAGTATAGCTTAAATCTTCTTGTGAGAGACCTCAGTGGAGCTGATGTAACAAATGTCATTGCACTTGCTTGCAGTATGTCTTGATAACTGGGAAACCATCCTTTAGATAAACAAACAAGC